GTAGAGCCGACGCGATGCACGTGCGCTCGCTGCGCGCCGCGGCGCCCCACAGCTTCGTGGCGCTCTGGGCGCCCCTGTTCCTGCTGCGCTCCGCCCTGGCCGACTTCAGCCTGGACAACGAGGTGCACTCGAGCTTCATTCACCGGCGCCTCCGCAGCCAGGAGAGGCGGGAGATGCAGCGCGAGATCCTCTCCATCTTGGGCTTGCCCCATCGCCCGCGCCCCCACCTCCAGGGCAAGCACAACTCGGCGCCCATGTTCATGCTGGACTTGTACAATGCCATGGCGGTGGAGGAGGGCAGCGGGCCCGACGGCCAGGGCTTCTCCTACCCTTACAAGGCGGTCTTCAGCACCCAGGGCCCCCCTCTGGCCAGCCTGCAAGATAGCCACTTCCTCACCGACGCCGACATGGTCATGAGCTTCGTCAACCTTGGTGAGTGAGGGCAGGAGGAAGGGGGTGACCGTCTCGGCCAGGAGGCGCTTTGGAACAGGGAGGAGGGGACCGCTTCTTACATCCAGCCCGCCCATCTTTCTACTTCGGCCGTTTGCAAAACCGTAGTGCCTGGCCGTGGGTCTCCTACCCCCGGTCCCAGTGGACCCCAAGCTGTGCGCGCCCCAGGTAGGGCAAACAAGGCTAATTTGGCCTGTTGGAGTTTGGGGGAGGGTGGGCCCCTCTGGGTTAAGCTGCCAGCCGCACCTCTGGGGCCGCAGGCTCGGGGGCCGGCCGCGGCTCAGTTCAAAGCGCGGGGCTCGGTCATGTGAGCTGTGCCGGGCCGGCGCGACCCGCGCTACCTGGATTTAAAGGGCCCTGCTCGGCAGAGCTGCCTTCCCGCCCTTTCTGGGCCCCTCGCAGCCCTTCCTGGCTCTGGCATCGCGGGCTTCGCGCCCCCTTCCCGGCCTTGGCAAGCCCTACCTGTCCGCTCGCGGTGCGCCCGCCCTAGCGTGCTGCGCGCCCCGAGCGCCTCGGGGCCCCTCTCCTGGCCGCTGGGCACCCCCCTCGCCCTCGGCTCTCCTGGCTGGAACTGGGGAAGAAACGTTGCCATTGCGAGCTTTCTATTTTAAATATTTAATGATAGGTCCCGGGCGGGCAGAATCCATTTTCAGCGTTTATCACATGTGGCGCGCAAACCACGGCTTTTGGCGATTGGGTGGCGCGGGATCTCCGAGCAGACGCCGCCGGGGGCGGCTGGGAGACCTAGCTCCGGACTGGAGCCGCAGCGGCCCCGGGGACGGGAGGCGGGGGCTGCGGCGGAGGCTGCGGCGGGGACGCGGCGGCCCCCCTTCCATCCGTGCACGCACACTCACCAGACTTGCTCAAACTAACCCCCGGCAGCGCGCTGTAGGGCTGATGATCAAATATTTGGTTTCCAGATAACACGCCCCGATAGCGCTGTTTCCTGAGCCGCTTTCATTCTACATGTGTAACTTGCTGCGAAAATCCTAACAGATTCAAGACAGCAAACTCACGCCCACGGGCGGAGTGTCAACATGGAGATAATGGCGCTCAGGCCCCCGTGGAGCTCTGGGGGGCGTGGACGCAGGGCTCAGGGAAGCCAGGATCGACCGCAATGCTTCCCGCTCCAGATAAGGTCCCCAGAGTTCCTGGGAGGCCATTGTCTGTCCTTACTAATAGCCAAAAATCAAATAGTGAAACGAGTTTCAGCGAGCAAGGGGTGGGAGGTGTAGATGCCAAAACAACCTCAAGAAAGTTTAAATTATACGAAGCAGCCTGTTAGATTGCCCTGATTTAGAACAATCTCCTCGATGTCCGAGGTGGGAAAGAGCAAGGTGCAGATCAGCGAGGTTATGTAGGTGCTTGTATGTCATCCCTTCCCCACTGGAAGAAGACGCTGGAACTGGAGGTGGATTTTACGGGAGACCGGGCGGGGCTGGGGCTGGGGCCGGGGCTGGGGCTGAGGGAGTGGGGTCTGATCTTTCATTGCCTGCACTTGTGTGTGATTTTTTTTTTTTTTTTACCATGTGCATTTATGACCCATACCAGAAACTAAAGAAAAATTCCAAATCCATACATATAAATTAGTAAATTAAAGCAGAGCTCTGTAGCTGTCCTGAAGCTGGCGTTAACCAGGGCCTTTCTCTGGCCGGAATTGATGGCACCCTGCCCTGTTGGGTACCCGTGACTCCCTGTGAGTGCAGCCGGTCCCAGTGGCCGCCTTCAGAGCTTGGCCGAGGTCATTAAGAAGGTATTCGTAAGCCCCGGCTTCCGTGGAAGGCTCTGCAAATCCCGTCCAGAAAGCACCCCGCTGTTCATGGACCAATGGCAGGGCCAGACGCAGGGCTCCCCGTACTGGAGAAGGGCTGAGTTGCCAGCCTGGTGCCCCTGGGAATCTCGGGGCAGGGCTGTTTGCTCCCCCTTGGTGCTGGGAGCAAGCTGGGACTTGTCCGGGAAGGCCACAGCTGGGCGGTTTTCCTCCTCTGGCTGCACACACACCTTTCAACCCTGTTAGTCCCATTTCTTTCATCTCGAAAGGACAAAGACCGGCTTGTCTGAGCCTCTTAGTCAGGGCTGGCTTTGGGCTTTGTGGGGCAGCCCTGGCTTCCTCAGGTCTTGCTTTCTGCAACATCACTCCAAATTAGATGGCAGAGTGGCTTTTAACAGAGTGCACTGACCTTGTTTCTTTCTCTCTCTGTCCCTAAAACTCAAGGTAATTAGTTGGGTGAAGACCTGGACTGCAGTTTGGCAAGACTCTTCTGTAGAAGCTTCTAAGGTTGACCTATTTCTGCTCAGCACGGGAATGAACCAATAAACCACCTGTGCCTTCCATTCGGTCATGGTCCCGGAATTTTTCCCCAGGAGGGCCCTGCGGGTGGCAGTGGGATTGGAGGGGGGGCGTGTAGGAGACGTGCCTGGAAGTGAGTTTGCTGATAAGGCACATGATTTTTCCTTGGGTTGCAGATCATATTGATCTGTAGTATACTAAGTTTTCTAAAGGAGTTATTCTGACACTTTAAGAGTAGGAAAATGTCACTTGTCCATATCGAACCATTACTCGTCAGCGTGCAGGGGACCTGGGGGGACTCTGGAGGGCCTTTGATGGAGATCTTGAGGGGAGGCCAACTTTGTCCACTGGCCCCTCATCCCTCCACTGCAGACCGCCGCTGTCCTGCAGTGCTTGGGAGACCTCCGTCTGAATTCTGAAGGCTTTTGCAGACCTGGTACATTATTCTTCCTTCTGTCTGCAGCCAAACTGGTTTTTGTTCCTATAAGTTCTTCTCAGAAGTCAAGCTTTTTGCCAGGCTGAGCGGGATCTAAACTAGAGAGAGACCTAGAGGAGAATTTATGACAAAACCAGGTGCTGACGATGAGGGCTTCAGACCGCAGCTTATGACGAAGGCCAGCCTGCACAGTAAAGCCTGGTGTAACGCTGGTCGCACTGCCAGACTGGGACTCACTCCTTCCCAGCCTGGGCCCCTTAAGTTCAATGGTGAGATTTGTAAACTGGTTTGGATTAACAAGCCCTGGGCTCTGCTGGATAGACTTAATTTTTTAGAATTCAAAGCAGGCTATTCTCTCTTAAATAGCTCCCAGGCACTGTGACTCCTACGGACCGGGACCCGGGCATAGCTCCCCACAGTTCTTTCTTCAGGAAATTCAGCAGTTTCTTGTGGAATCTTCTAAAGAAGCCGGCTGGCATTAGGGGCGTGCGGTGCATGTTTATCTCTGGTCCGGGCTATGAAGGAACCAAATTTGTTTAATCTTCAAAGCCAAATTAAAAAAAAAGAGAAAGTTGGAAACCTATCATTATTGGCCTCTGTGTATAAAAGTGGCTTTTGTGAATGCAGCTGAAGAGGCAGCGAGGGGCCTCGCTATGTGACTTTTCCTTTACCATCTGGCTATCCTTTTTGTTGACAAGTGTTTGGCATTAAGATCTCTCCTTTTGCCCCTTAAGAACAGGCCCTACCACTGTAGAGTATTAGAAAAAGATTCTGTTACAGTTTAAAAATTTCCTTCAGGGAGTGCTCCACGCAGGGAGCATGGGCTGCAGGCATTTGCAGCTGTAACCTGGCTTGTGTTAAGCTTTGGAAGGGGCTGTTCCACATTCCAGCACTCGGAGCGCCGGCTCTCACTGGTAAGCAGCCAGAGGTTAATATAGATGTCACACAGGCTTTCCCCCTTCTCGCTTGCTTTCTGCAGAGTGCCTTCGCTATAGGAGTGCACCAACAGCTGTGTTTTTAGTAACCCTTTCAAAATCACTTCTTTTAAACCTCATTTTCCTGCTTCTATAAATCAAAGATCTTCTCCCTCCTTCTCCCAAGGATATATGTGACCCAGATTTGAACTTTTATGATCTTTGTATTTCTCTCCTGGAACCAAAGGAGGTGAAGGCCGAGCCCTGGATGCCAGCTCGGGTGGCTCTTTTTGGTGTTTTTATTCCAGGCTCGTCATTCAGTTGGGGAGCGGCCCATCAAAGGGGTAAGGGAGGCGGCCCAGAGAAAAATCGATTTCAGGGCAGTAAAGGAACGGTTCTCTGAATGCGTGGAGAAGGAGCTGCTTCTGGGATGCAGCTCTCGCGAGCTCCGGTTCGGGGCCTTACCTAGGGTAGCAGGCTCTGAAGCCTCCGCCGAAATAAACACAGCTGGGGTGCGCTCTCTGCCCACCGGAATGCCTGCGATGTGAGCGCATGTCACATGTCCGCCGAACTCGGAGACAAGTGATGACTTCATTCCAGGGAGAGTCCCTTCTAAGTTGATTGATCACCCCTATCGCTTTAATATCTTTTTTTTTTTCCTCCCCCTATTGGGTAAGGTCATATTTGGCCCATCGCAGGAATCAGAGTGTCCTAACACTGCCCCAGTCCCCACCCTTCCCCAGCCTGCTCGTCCATTTAACCAGCTGAATATTTCGAATGGAGCGTCTTCTGCACCAAATGGCTGGCCACGTTAACTTTTTTGCAATCGCTCTTCGGGCCTGGCTGGGGGCTGTCGGCACACTGGGGTTTTTTTTGGCAAGTCGCTACAATGCTTCGCCTTAATGCACTCTGGCAGTGTCACCAGGGGTTAGGGCACAGGCAGGGATGTGTGGGACCTGTCATGTTATTGTCAGAAGGAATGTGAGGATTAGCCTTTAAAGCATGGTGGGGCGGGGGGGGAGCACCACAGCTGTGTACACTTATTATAAAAGATTTAAGTCCCACTGGTAAAATCAATATATTGAATTGCATGACCCTCTGCTTTTAATTAGTTTAAATCAAATGTGCCGGTGCCATTTGCCTCCTCTCGCCTTCATGGGGTGAGGAAATACCAATATTTACATAGAAACTGTTAATTTGTGGTGAAAATGATAACACATTTAGCTTTACACACCCAAATTGCTCCGACGTGATGGATCCCAGATTGACTTGGAGTTGCAGGGTGATGTCACCAGGGCGAGGATGCAGGGCGGCTGCGTCGGTGACGTTTGTCGCCTGGACC